TTGACCGGAAGTGGACTTTTTGATATCGGAGTCCAAATCTGATTCCGGAAATTGGAGTAGGTCCGTAATGTCAAACATGACTTGTGTGCAAAATTTGAGGTCAATCGGACGTGAGTTGGTAGGTTTTGGCATCGAATGTAGAAGTTTGAAGTTCTAAAGTTCATTAAGCTTGGTTTGGGTAGTCATTCGTTATTTTGGCATTATTTGATGTGATTTGAGGCCTCGGGCAAGTTTGTGTCATGTTTTGGGACTAGTTGGTGCGATTGGATAGGGTCCCGGGGGCCTCGGGTGTATTTCGGGGTGGTTTCAGGGCAATTTTGGTTAAGTTGTTGTTGCTGGTTTGATGGTGCTGATGTTGTTCTTCGCGAACGCGAAGGACCTCACACGTTTGCGAAGAAGGAAATTGGACTAGCCACTTTTTGTTCTACGCGTTCGCGAGAGGGCAGACGCGCGAAGGGCTAGCTGGTAAAGCTTCGTAGAGGAGCTGGGGGGCTGAGGCAGATTGTGCTTCGCGAATGCGAGGGGCTTGCCGCGTTCGCGAAGAATGATTTTTGGGCGTGAGGGCTTTGTGCTTCGCAAACACAAGGGATGTTCCACGTTAGCAAAGAAGGGCAATGCTGGGCAGTGTGATTTTAAAGACGGGATTTGGCCATTTTTCCTCCATTTTCCATTTGATTGGCGATTTTTGGAGCTCTTGGAAGGGAGATTTTCGGTTTTTATGTCAAGGTAAGTGATTCCTACCTATCGCAAGTTAAATACTTGGATTATGTATGGACTTAGACATGAAAATTTGTAGAAATTTTGAGATTTGAAGAAAAACCTAGAAATTGGTATTTTTGAATTTTGACCACGAAATTTGGCATAGAATTGGGAATAAATTATATATTTGAGTTCGTGAGGTTATGGGCAAAGTTTATCTTTGAAAATTTATGGAATTCGGGCACGTGGGCCCAAGGGTGATTTTAACTACTTTTCAAATGGAGTTGGGAATTTGTTGTAAATATGATTAGAATGAGTATTTGAGTATATATTAATGGGTTTGCATAATTATTGACTAGTTTTGGAGCGTTAGGCGTCGGTTCGAGTCGTCGCAAGGGCTTGAGAGCCGGTTATGGAACTTTGGAGCGAGGTAAGTCTCCTTTCTAACCTTGTAAGAGGGAATTAACCCCATAGGTGAACTAAATTACTATGTGCTTCTATTTGTGGGGGCTACGTACGCACGAGGTGACGAGAGTCCGTACGTAGCTACTAGTTATGCCTATGTCCGGGTAGTTTTAGCCTCACATCATGCCTTGTTGATATTGTTATTGATTTATGTTTATTGCTTGCCTTGTGTCACGACCCTAGTTCACCAATTGTGAACACGTCATGACGGCACCTAGTCTTCACGACTAGGTAAGCCTAACACATTGCGGAAGTAACAACATTGGCGAAATTTATATTCGAAAGCTAAATAACATGAGTAATGTATACAGTTGCCGCCTGGCACATACACTTTAATACAAAATACTGAAATAACCTCCAAGACCCGGAAACCCACGGGCAACACAGGCTATAAGAAATCTTACACTGCTCTAGTCACCAGAATAGTCTAATACAAAGAGGGATCGAAATAACATCTAACAACTATGGATAGAATGAGAAGGAGACTTTGCGGATCTGCGGACGTAGCAGATGTATACCTCAAGTCCCCAATACGCTCCCTGACAGCTACTGGCGGTACGCCTGCTCAGAAGCACCTGGATCTGCACATGAAAAACATGCACAGGAGAGGCGTGAGTACACCACAGCGGTACTCAGTAAGTGCCAAGCCTAACCTCGGTTGGGTAGTGACGAGGAAAAGGTCAGGGCCCTACTGAGACAGAAACAAAAAAATAGCAAGATATTAACAGTATCGAAGTCTGATGAAAACTAATGAACACAGCGATGTGATAAGACAGATCAATGAAATATAGTACTGCAATACAAAACAGAAACACAGAGTAAATACAGCAAAATTACAAGAATACCGACGAGGGTCTCCCAGGATACCGTCCTGTAGCCCTTTTCTCAACTGTCCAATGGAACTTCCGGGATACCGTCCCGTAGTCCTAATCTCATATCAATATCAAAAGATCTCCCGGGATACCGTCCCGTAATCCAATCATCAGTGTGCAGGGGGATCTCCCGGGATACCGTCCCGTAGTCCCAAAATAAAAGTGCAGGGATCTCCCGGGATACCGTCCCGTAAATAAAAGTGCAGGAGGATCTCCCGGGATACCGTCCCGTAGTCCCAAAATAAAAGTGCAGGGGGATCTCCCGGGAATCAAACCCGTAGTCCCAAAGTAAACAATCAAGGGGGAACTCCCGGAATCCGCATCCGTAGTCCCAATGTAAATGCGCAACCAACATCAATAAATTATTCAGAAATTTAAGTACAACAATACAAGGCATCAAATAATACTGGCCTAACATGCTCCACGTAATCACAGTTAAGACAATTTAAACAAATAGGCAGCTTGGATCAATTAAACATGCTCTTCTACGCTAGCACAGGCTATAAAAGCAAGTAAAGTAAGGCAAATATGAAAGAGAATCCAAATCAAGTATTTAAGTAAAAATCCAGGTTTCAACAATTTGCTCAAGTACGCGCTCGTCACCTCACGTACAAGGCATTCAATTACCAATTATCACATCCTAAGGGACGAAGTCCCCCACACAAGGTTAGGCAAGCCACTTACCTCGAACCGGTGCGAAGTCAACTAGGGAACGATGCCCTTGCCACGAGTATCCGACTCCAAATGGCCCAAATCTATTCAATTAAATTACAAATCGTAAATAATATTGCAAACAACTGATTCCACTATTGAAATTAAAGCTAAGGCGCGAAAATAGGTGAAATGACCAAAACGCCCCTCAGGCCAACGTCTCGGAACCGAATAATTTTCACATTTTCAGAAACCTCGTACTCTCACGAGTCTAACCATATAAAAATCTCAGAAATCGGAGGTCGAATGCTCCCTCAAAACCCAATAGTTTAGTCAATGAACTTTCACCCAAATTCTTCCATTTTTGATCCTTAATTCGAATTTAAAAGGTGGATTTAACTACTAAATGATAGAATATAATTAGAAAGGATCATAGAAATGTTACCCAATAATCTCCTCTCCAAAATCCTCTCAGAATCGCCTTTGCCCGAGCTCAAAATTGATTTTCAAACTTATGAAATTAAACCCTCGAAATTTCCTATTTCTGCCCAGACATTTCCGCTTCTGCGGACAAGGGACCGCTTCTGCGGTCCCGCTTAAGCGGNCATTGATCTTCATCTCGCAGCTCAGCAACCTCTTGCAAGTCTTCAGTTATAGGGAAGTCTGGAGGCAATACATGATACAAAGCACCCAAGCCAGTCCAATTCTCATGCCATATATTAGTAGATCCCCTATTCATTTCCCATAAAATTTCATGCTCCACCTCATCTCTTGCCTCTAACATTTTCCTCCAAACATGTGAGCCTCTCCTAAATTGAACCACAGTAGGTACTTCTTTATTGCAATACTTATTCCACATAAAGTTTGACCATAAGGATTTAGAAGTTCTAAATCTCCACCAAAGCTTTGCAAATAGTGCCTTTGAGACATCAAACAATGATCTAAAACCTATCCCCCCTCCTCCTTGGGAAGACATAAATTCTGCCACTTTGTCCAATGTCTACTTCTCCCTTCTTCCTTATTGCTCCAGAAAAATCTCGCAAAAGTTTTATGGAGATGTTCTATGACATTGTTAGGTGGATCAAGGAATGACAGTATGTGTGTAGGTATACTTTGAAGCACACTTGAGATCAATGTGGCCTTACCTCCATAAGATAGTAATTTCCCTTTCCATGAGTGTAGCTTTGCCTTTACCTTCTGGATCAGGTCACTATAGTAGTCCTTCCTTCTTCTTGTATAGAAAATTGGACATCCAAGGTAAGTAAATGGGAAGCTGACTTTAGGGAAACCAGTGATATTAGCTACTGCATTGATTAAATTTCCAGCAACCTTTGAGTGCATATAGTAAGAACTCTTTGCCTTATTGATCATCTGCCCAGAAGTTGTCTCATACAAAGCCAAAACATCAACTATCTTCTGAAGAGAGTAAGGATCAGCAGATGCAAAGATAATAGTATCATCTGCATAAGCTAGATGATTCAATGGATCAGACCATTTTGGCATACCAAAACCTCTAAACTGCCTATCTTTAAACAACTTATTCAATGACCTTGACAAAACCTCTGCTGAGAGAATAAACAAAGCTGGTGATAGAGGGTCACCTTGCTTCACACCCCTTGTTGAATGAAAAAATCCAGAAGCTTGTCCATTAACCATAACAGAATACCAATTGTTAGCAATGAGATTCCAAACCATGTTTATAAAGCATACTACAAACCCCATTCTCCTCAATACATGCATCAAATATTTCCAAGACACCCTATCATATGCCTTAGCCATATCTAATTTGATCACCACATTGGCTGGCTTACCTCTCAATCTTATATCAGTAACAATCTCTTGAGTCAACAATATATTCTCAAAGATACTCCTTCCCTTGACAAAACCAGATTGATTTTTTGAGATCAAAGAAGGCAGTATCTTTTCTAGTCTATCATGCACCACCCTTGAGAATACCTTGTTAATAAAATTACTCAAGCTGATAGGTCTAAGGTCAGAGAATGTTTGAACTTGTGGTTTTTTAGGCAACAAAACAAGATTAGTATGTGTTATTGATTTTGGCAATGGACTGCCCTCAAAAAACACAACTAATAATGTGTGAATATCTTTCCCCACAATATCCCAGCATGCTTGAAAGAACAAACCTGAGAAACCATCTGGACCACTTGCACTTTCACTACTCAATGCAAAAACAACATCCTTCACCTCCTCCATAGTAGGCAATCTACATAATTCCAGGTTCTGCTCCCTTGTCACCAATGTAGGTACATTATTTAACAAACCAAAGCTTGTAAGATCCCCCTCCTTAGTGAATTACTTCTGGAAAAACTCCACTGCAGCCTCAGATAACTTGTCTTGATCTTCAATCCATGAGCCATCACTATTCTGGATCCTTTTTAATTGTAACTTTTGCCTCTTCCCATTGACACAATTATGGGAGAACCTTGTATTTCTGTCTCCTTCTTCAAACCAAGTCATACCTGCCTTTTGTTTCCAATATTGCTCCTCAATGCTCAAGTACTTCTTCAACTCAGCTTGAGCTTGTTGAAGTACTATTCTATTCTCTATTGAAGGATCTTCTTCAAAAAGCATCTCCTTAATCCTTACCACATCCTCCCTGATAGCTAGCTGCTTGAAGATATCCCCATAGGTTAATTTACTCCATTTTGAAAGAGCAATCTTAACCCTCTTCAATTTCTACTTGAACATCAAGAAAGGGTCCCCTATATAGTCAGCCATCCAATTCTGCTTCACCACATCTAAGAAGGTTTCATGTTTTGCCAGAAGTTCAAGAACTTGAACGGTTTAACAAATTTCATAGCTTCCTCTCCACAGCTCATCAAAAGTGGTGCATGATCAGATCCTGTTCTACTGAGGTGCTCAACCTCTATTGTAGGAAATAAGGATTGAAAGGGCATGTTCACAAGGATTCTGTCAAGTCTTTTAAAGATACACTCTTCATTTGGCCTCCCATTCCACCATGTGAAAGGGCTACCCTTGTAGCCAAGATCAAACAAGCCACAAGAGTTGACACAGAATGCAAAATCTTCATACTCTGGAGGGTGCACTGGTAGGCCACCTATCTTCTCTTCCTCTCCCAACACTACATTGAAATCACCCCCTACTAGCCCTGGCAGCTCCATATCACTAGCCAAATAGTATAGATTGTCCCATAATTCCAGCCTCTCTAATGCACTGCACTTAGCATATACAAATGTCATCATAATGTATTTACCAAGATCCTGATGATACACTCTCATGGTCATTTGTTGCTCAGTGTCAATCAAGAGATCCCATTCCACAACAGAATCAAAAAATAACCAAATTTTGGCATTTACATTAGAGATTGCAGCTTCCATACCTAATCTTCTTCTATATTTGTCAAGAAATTTCTTCTTCTGTTTAGGCTCCATGAGTGCTATAATGAAAAAACCATGTTCCTTTTGCATATTGATCACTCTCTAAAAGGCCTGTTGAGTTTTAACAGACCTTATATTCCATATGAGTGTTTTAATCATCATCTTGAGGCTCCAGAGGCTGCCCTTCTAGGCAAGATTCTTGTAGGTTGTAATGACTCTTTAAGTTGATTTTTCTTTCCTTTCTTCCCACTTCTATTAGTTGCTATAGGAGATACATCCCCTTCCCTCATCACACCTTTAAAATTCTCTACTGTAGTCTCATCATCATCTTCCTCTTCAAATTGCTGTTGCTGCTCCACCAAAGAATTCTGAATGTCTAAAGGCAACCCTTGATGTGTAATGAGGCCATGTAGTACCTGATTAGGTGATTTCAATGGCACCTTAACTTTGATCTATAAGGGGGATCCAGTTCCAGATGAACATGCTATTGGCAATGCTTCACTTTCTCCAGAAACTATGGCTTGTTCACCTGGTTCATGGGGTGTTAATGCTGCATCATAATGGTCAGAATTGCTAACCATATCTCCTAGCTTCTCCTGCATCATTTTAAATTGAAGCTCATACACAGAACTCAGATTAGGGTTTACTGTAGCAAAACTGGCAGAAACTGCTTGTGTTACTGTTCCATTGAGATCAGACCCCTTCCCATTGTCTGTTTGTTGATTTTGGCACACTGTATCCTTTACACATTCTTAGGAACATTCCCAACCTGTTCCTTCATCAATGCATATACTGGAACCCCATCTACATAGGCCAAAAGTCTCCCACGGAAAACCGAACGAGTTTAACTTCGTTCCTACGTTGGTCCGTCGTAGTCTTTGGTC